GTGGCCAAAAATGCCAAAACTCCCATTGTCGTCAATGTGTTAATAGGTAGAACTGAAGCGTAGCGCACATTTCCCAACTCAAAAACAGAAGTGCAAAGCAGCATGGAGTCACTTCTGCGGAGAATCGTTCTAGAATATTCTCCGTGGCGCGCGTTTGCCCGCTGGAGCACATTGGTGATGGAACGTTCGCGAGCCGGTCAGAACATTCTACACCTTGTCGTGATGGTGTGAGGAGATCGCTTCCCTGTCGTTAATTTTTGGACATTCGTTTTGTTTCATGTTACTCTCCATGTGTAAAGATGATATACTGTCTGAATCGTCATGAAAAAGACTTGGGAGAGAGTTTTGTCCGGATTATGAACAGTCAATATTTATTCACCTTTTTCAACTGATTGTTTCTTGACTTGATCCATATTGTATGATATTGAGTGGCTGCGTTCTCTCAAGTTCAAGGCATCTTATCATTTGAACTGATGCGATATGCCTAATATCTTTGAAACCAGAATTAATTCGAAATTAATGTTGTATAGTTCATCTCTCTTGCGCATAGGGATTTTGTAGAAAAACAACAAAGCTTATAAGTTCTTCTTTCCGTTCCTGGTGAGAACTGTTTGGTTTGCAGCTTCAGTAGATGCCATGGTAGAATGTGTAGCCTGCCAGCCGAAGATCACAGTTGAAGCATCTACTGATTTCAAGATTTTTTTCACCAGATGTTCCTTTTTGGAAACCTCCCTGTGGCCCAATGTCTTCATTTGGTTGGCTTGAACCAAAAGAAATGTGTTGTGAAAGGGTTCGACAGGAAAAATGATGTTAACATTCTGTTGGTTTGTAGATAGAATAGTCCGTTGGAGAGCTCACGTAGTGCTGAAGGATGATCCGAGACTTTCAATGTTGATCTTGATGTAATTGTGATGAGTTTTGCCCTTTCAGCTTCGAGTTAATCATTTCCTCTTCGTGGCTTGTTTTGTGAATTACATCATAGGAGATCTAACAGTAATTTCCTGGTCCTCTTATATTGAAACGTTGGCATTTCCATTGTTGTCCTTGTTGTAATTGTATGTTATACTTTTGGCTCGAGGTAGTTATCGTGGAAGATTTATTTCTGCCAATGTTTCGACTGTCACATGGCTTAACTCTTCTACTATTATAACCTCGGAGCAAAAGTATAACTTACAATTACAATATCCAACAGTGCTGTTCTTTCAAAAGCGAGTCCCGAAGGAAAGTCATGCTTGTGCGTAGATATCGGCAAAGGTCGTTCTTCAAATGCTTGTTCCATCCACTGGCATGCTTAGGCTTGAATTTCGCGTAAGGCTGATGTCAGAGTCCGCGATCCCTCGCGCGATTCGCGCGACAGACACAAATCACAAGTGCCCGATCAATACTGCGAGGTGCTCTCCAATCCGCCGCCATTTCTGCTTGATGGTGATGGTTGAATGACGACTGTTCATGATTCCACTTGTTTCATATTCGGTAGTTTCAAATGTTGAGGTGGGTTCTTGCGATAGGCGCGAATGGCGCGTCTGACTCTGACACCAGCCTTAATGCCGGTGCTCAAGCGTACTTTCCATTTTTTCTACATCGTGTGTGCAGTCGAACGCAAAGATAAGTCCAGACTATAATGCATCTTTTCAGGAATATCTCGGGTGCTGATCTTCTTTCGTAGAGATGACGAACCCTCAAGAAGAGGTATGCGCCCACGTCCTTTTTAGTTCCCATTTGAAGTGTTCTTTCATTTGCATGTCTACTGCTCTCCATTTGAGTATTACTTACTGTAGGCTGTGGCTGAAAAGAATCTGGGGAATGCAGCATATAAATTGAAGAACTTCGAAGAAGCTCATAAACATTATGATAAAGCCATTGAACTCGATCCTTCTAACATTACGTTCTATACTAATAAAGCAGGTAAGCTTCGATTTTTTGTTGATTTTTTGGTGACCTTTCCTTCCATTCTTGTGTGACTCTTCATGTTATTTTTCTTTGTTTTGCCGTATTAATATAGGTGTTATGGTGCCATTTCAGCCGCCTATTTTGAAGAGCACAAATATGACGAATGTATTGAAGTTTGCAAGAAAGCTGTGAAATTGGACGTGAACAGAGGGCTGATTTCAAACTGATTGCGAAGTAAGTTTTTGCTCGTTATGCGTACAATCGTAGCTAATGTTTGTGAGCTCCATTTCATGACGGTCGAACCGCGCTCATTCTCAACATTTGGAAGTTTCGGCGAAAAAGAATGGATGCGTATCGATCAGGCAGTTCAACACGGTTCTCCCAGAGTTATGGGGAGGACGGTGCTGGTGAATCTATGCATCCAACCCTTATCGGTGGTTGTGAATTAACCTAATCTTAATACTTGATTCTCGAAATTGGTTTGCGAAAAGCTTGAGAAAAAAGCGGTAATCCATTCAGTTTGTATGTAATCCTTCCTGCAAAGTCCTTGAATCATTTGTTCTATGTCAGAGTTCGAAAGCATACTTTTTCGAGGATTCGCCGATTCTTCCAAAACGTTGCACATGGCCGCGCTTATAGGCCGCGGAGTAGCTGCGACCTCGCGATTTCTTGTAAAGTAGCTAGGTATGTGCAGAATCGCGTAGTCAGTACATATGTATATGTATACCCCACTTAAATTGCAAAACAAACAGCAAGTCCACGATTGTAGGAAACGAACTCCTACGATCATTTTCAAAAGAAAATACAAGCCCAGGTCCCATCCATTGTGGGGGAATGTGGTTGCGATAGTTGGTGTCACCTACAGAAATTTCAGTTTTTCTAGGGCTGGGAATTCTCAAAGTGCGGGAACCGCTTCGCTTCCGCTTCCACACCCAAATAGTAGCCCTCTACTCTGCAAAATTCAAAATAACTGTAGGCGATATGAACTGACGCACCACATGTCCATTTTACTAGATGAGACTCCGAGCACCTTTGCGAATCATCCTTTCGTTAGCCTCTATTCAAGCATCATCAGTCTTTCTCCATCTGGGATGTGTTTTAGTAACACGGGAGACTTTCATTGCATACCACGTTCAAAATCAGTACACAATTTTCATTATGGAGGTTTGGATAGTGGGATTGTGTAATTCTGTAACTTTTTTCATATTGTTTCGAATAGATATAATCAATAGTTCTGTGCCAGACAGGTTTTATTGCGCTTGACGCGTCGAGGAATTCATTGGTTCAAATTTAAAGCATTTCGAACGTTTTGTAATGTAACCATTCTGCTCAAACCAACCTACGCTTAGCTGAGTTACAACTCACTTATGCGAACCAGAAATTGAGCGAAAAAAAGTATGGGAAAAAATAGTACAACTCCATGAACAGTGGAACAAGTAAGATTGACCGGTCATGCACTGATTGTGAAATGTGTACGTGCAGTGCGCTGCATTTTACAGTCACTCACAAAGAATGAAGGCAGGAAGTTATCGGTTAACGAGATGCACTCGGATTACAGTGCTTTACCCAGAAAGCCTCATTGATTTTCTTGCATTGACGTCGCTCTTGTCGTGCATTTAAGGCAAAGTTACAATCCGATTGACTCTCCGTCTGTGCTTGCCAAGTCCCAAACAGAGTTGTCAGGATGTTAGCCTCTCCTGAATCCAAAGATTGATCTCGTGATTGCTTTCAGAGCCATGGCTCGTGCAGGAAATGCGTATTCAAAGAAGGAAGATTGGAAAGAGGCTCTGAATTGGTATGAGAAGTCCGTGTCCGAGTTTAGAGATCCAGTAGGTCTACAGCTTCTTTTTTTCTTCATTTATTTTGAGTACAGGGTGGACATGATAAAAGAAGCCTGATCGTTTTCCTCAGTCAGTGAACATTTTTTCAAGGAAGTAGTGAAGAAAGCGAAAGAGCTGGAGAAGTCGATCAAAGAAAGAGAGCGAATGGCATACATTAATCCTGAGTTGGCTCAGGAGGAGAAGAACTTAGGCAATGAATTGTTCAAGGTATTTATTGCTACATATAATACATTGCTAAGGTATAGCTCGCTATCTAGCGTTTATAGGAGAATTTCAGAAAGGAGACTATCCCGGGTGCTATGAAGCATTACAATGAAGCTGTGAAACGGGATCCTGAAAATGCCATCCTCTACTCGAATCGTGCCGCATGCTATACAAAACTGTTAGATTTTCAACGAGCACTTGACGATTGTGAACAGTGCATCAAGCGTGATCCGAAATTCAGTAAGTTTCACAAAGTTGAGATCGCTTAGTCCTCGCTGTCCCGCTGATTTGTAAGGAGTAAATTACGCAACTGTATGGTGTGTGTGCTTATCCTTTCAACTTTAGTAAAAGGATACATCCGAAAAGGCGCTGTCTGCACCGCATGCGGAGAGTGGTAAAGGCGCTGTGCTGACCGCAATGCGAGAGTGGACTAAGGCGAAACGAGCCTATGAAGATGCTCTCGCCGTGGATCCTTCAAATTCTGAAGCCCTTGAGGGGCTGCGTAATTGCTTCCGTAGCAACGATGAGGATCCAGAAAAGGTAAGTGTATAGTATCTTTAGGAAACCTACGTGATATTTTAAAAGTTCGATCTCTGCTATGCTACAATATTCAGGCTAGAGAACGAGCGCTCGAAGACCCTGAGGTGCAAGCCATACTCCGTGACCCTGGAATGCGATTGTTGCTGGAACAAATGAGTCAGGTAGGATATAAATGTACTTATATTTGAATGCGTAAAAGGTGACTTGTTATAGGATCCTGGGGCAGTCAGAGAGCACCTTCAGAATCCTGACATAGCAGCGAAACTTATGAAGCTCCGTGAAGCTGGTATTATTCAAATGAGGTAATGTAATCAAGCGTAATCGAATCGCTGGTATGACCTCATGCAACTCTTCTTCTTGAGGTTTCTCATGTTTGATGTCATTTTAGTGTTTTAAGTTAGACGTACAATATATCCACATCACTTATAAGATGTTTTCGAGGCATTCTGTTCTCTTCTTCCACCTTCGATTTCGTAACTGCGATCTTTGTATGTGGAGTACATCTCGGTGTTTCTTCTCGTCTCATTACTCCTTTTTACGTGTTCACAGAATGAATGTTAAGATGATTGTGATGTTTATATGTTGAAGAGTTTTGTCTCATAATACATTTAATCACTGTTCGGCTCGGGTTATCGGCGATGCATTCTCAATCAAGGATATAGGATGATGAAGAAATTCAGAACAGAATTTCAAAGTTCTTCATTATCTAGCATAATATGCAGCAGATACCGTTGCTGTTTTTTTATGGTAGAAAAGAGAGACGGTGCTTAAACCGTTGCTGTTTTTTTATGGTAGAAAAGAGAGACGGGGTTTAACAACTGCAACTTCACTTGCTGGGTGGCCTTGTTAAGCAAATACGGAATTGAAGCCTGAAATCGTGAT